GATGTCTTTACAAAGCCTGAAGATTTATCAAACCATTTAGATTATGCTGTAGCTGGGTGTGGGTGGTGGTGTACTTCTGTAATCCCAGCTACTCAGGAAACTGAGATAGGAGGTACCCTTGAGTCTAGGAGTTCAAGACCAGCCAGGGCATCATAGTGAGACCCTGCCTCAAAAAAACAGATTAAACTATACCATATCTATTGTTTCCCACTATTTTACCCTATTCATGTAAGAATTGGCTATGTTCTCTTGTTGAAAAAAACAACATACAAAAAAATAGCTTCCTGAACTTACTTAAAATATATATGGGTGATAATTACTTGATAATTACATGCATTTTTTAAACTGTTAATTCTAGTTTTAATTAAACTTTGATGGTGATCATTCTTAGTTTCTGTTTAGAACGATGTGACAAACAGTGATTTTAGAATGCATTTATATGGGAAAAACATTATTTTCAGTTTTTTCCTCTGTTACTTATTAATAGAAATAATCACATATACCTTTGGGTCCTTATAGATTTTATTTCAATAAAGTGTTAGCTTTGATATGGAAACTTGCTAACAAAACTGTTGGTTTGATATGTCAGTTTTCCTGCTATGAAATGTCAAAGTCTAATAATATTATTTCTTTTTCCCCCACAGTGGAACACCCTGACAAAATGGCTAATGACCAAGGTATAGTGGCTCAATTTGTTACTTTGTCCTCCTTGAATCAATCCTATCTGTTGGAAATGTCAGTCATTACTCTGTATTCCTCTTTTCATCTGGGCTATACACCTGATGAAGCAGACAGTGGCGTGATGATTAATCTTGTTAATGAAGTTCTGCTTGGCTGAGGCTGTAGCTCTGATAGGGAAGATGTAAATTTCTTGAGAGGAAATTGTTTTGTCTCTATTCTGAAGGACCAATTAAAATGTCAAGCTTCTTTGTATGAAATAAATTTTTAGTCTCTGTCTGCACTTGTGAATAATTCACATTAAGTATAATTAAGCTCAGCATAATTTTCAAGCTGCTCTTGCACCCTTTCATGAGCTATGGATTAAAGTTATGTAGCTCTACAGAGAAAAACCATAAATTATATGTGATTTGCCTCTGCAATGAGCTTCCTTTAATAAATAAAAACAAAGTTGGATCAACTTTTTTAGGGCATTATCATTGTTTGCTTTGAAGCCAAAAAGCTTTCATACCGTGAATCAGATGCTGGTCTGAGTCAGAGTATTTTCTTCTTCCATTCTTTTGCTAAGAGCTGATTTGTATAGAGAAACAAGGATGATTTTGCACAAAGGAAAAGTGGAGCTAAATAAGAATTATCCATCAACTTATAGACAGATATGAATTTTCTATTATCATGATTTATAGACTGATAAATTAGGATTCTATTATCTTTGCTCAAAGGACAGTTAGTAGAATGTTGAGGGCAGAAAAAGAATAGTTTATGAGTTTTCTCTTTTCAGGATGTTATATTCATTTAAGGAGGAGTTTGAAAATTCTGGTAACGGGTTGTAGTCAGTGTCGTCAGTATTTATTGATTCAGAGTCTACAACTCATATACTTTGTCTCCTGCTTTGCACATGGGCTGTCAGCAGAACTTACTTACAAACATCATATGTCGGCTGGGCGCGGTGGCTCACGCCTGTAATCCTAGCTCTCTGGGAGGC